AAGCCCAATGTGACGACCACAAGGATCTCAAGCAGAGAAGATATGCATAGGTTCGTGAACGTGGGCCCCACACAGTGACCAAGTTTGCCGTAGAGGTTGAAACCATATGTTGTGAGCTTTGTTGTGCAAGCTATGTGTTGTGCGGTTGTCCACCCAACTCCTTAGTCGTAATGAAGAGAACCTCTGTGCAAGCAATGTTTGGGGAATGATGCTTTGGGGGCGGACTTCGTTTCCTAAGAACACGCCCTTCCTCCTCCTCCCTCTCCTGGTCCTCCTCCATGTGCCACAGCCGTTTTGGCGCAACAACTTTGAGGTGCTCTATTGCACGTGGAGCTGGGCAGGTGATGGCCCAGCCACCAGGTGATGACTGGACCGCGCCCATGGATGTGGGTAGCACAACTGAGGTCAGAGAGAGTGGTGCGACTGCCGGCAAGCTGAAGGACAACCTCATGAGCAAAGTGTTGGGTCTATCATTGGAGCATGGCGGGCTCAACAGATATTTGCAGAAGAAGTACAACACAGTTGAGAAAAAGAAGGAGTTCGTCAACTTGCTGAAGACTCATGTTCCGATTGATACATCAATCGACTACAATCACCAGCAAACCGTCGCCGAGACAGCGGATGGCAACACTTACAAGGTTCACGTGTCCATGCTGGGATTTGACAAGGTGGCCTCCTGCAAGTACCTGGTGGAGCACTCGGTCGTGGAAAAGCTGATTCCAGAGATCATCCACGACGGCTTCGTGACCACCAGCGGGCCATTAGTCTGCCATCAGCCCAAGGAGCTGCAGATCGCGGAGCTCATGCCTACAGAGAACCAGATGAGCCACTTCAGCCTTGCGTATGTGAAGGGAATGGCCCGGGCTTGTACGCTGTTAACTCTCTTGGACGTGATCTTGGCAGATGGTGCCCAGGAGTTCTTGGACACATTCAAGACAGTGGTCGACAGCGCCAAGGTGATCACTATCAGGGTGCAGATTGCGATAGACCGAATTGCCCTTGCAGTCGAAAATGCGAAGCTCGCCCAACGTGGACGTATACGCAAGGCAAACAATGTCGTGACATGGGCTGGCATCGTCCTGGAGCTCAAGGCACATGGAATCACTGATCCGCAGACTCTGGTTCGGGCCTGGAATGAGAAGTGCGCGACGAAGGAGGCGCAGATCATCGGCCAGAAGCGCACAGCTCTTCTTTCCATCCTGAGCTTGAGTGACCACGCCCTGAACACTCTCTTCGAGATCGTGGCAGAGAATGGATGGGAACACTCCCCCTTCACCGAGGACTTCCTCGCCTCGCCGAAGCTCAAGAAGGACTGGTACCAAAGGAACGTTTCCAAGGCCTGGCAGCACCGCACCAAGGTCACTAGCAAGGCCCAGGAGCTGATGATGGACACTCTTCAAGTGCACTATCGTACCCTCCCGGCGAGCGCCAGGAAGAAGATGAGCAGATCGGACCTCGAAGAGCTACTGCTGGTGGTTTCAGTTGCGGTCAATCTATGCGACGAGGTCAAGGAGCAGATGCCAATCCCAGACGAGGTCCTCTACAAGAGCTTCCTCGACCTTGTTGTCTGTTCTGACCAGGCGGTCATACTCGAGCTCCAAATGGCAGTGGCGTCCAAGGACCAGAGCTTCAAGCCTGCTGACGCCCAGTGCCTGAAGAACATCATGCAAGCTCACGTTGCCAACACTGCGAACAGCGTCATGCATTTGCAGGCTGACGTCGACATGGAGGCTGGGAAGCTGGAGCAGAAGGCCATGGAGTTAGATATGGAGAAGATCGAGAACGACTGCAAGCGCTTCGACATCTGGAAGACCAAGATGTTGGATCGCGAGGCCCAGGACTACTATCAAGAGCAGGACTGGAAGAGGAAGCAGGTCGAGGCTGGCGAGCTCTTCGCAGACGAGTGGGCGGAGAAGCATATCTGCATTCTTGGGGAGGTGGAAGCAACAACTGCTGGGCGCAACATCCAACATCTCGCTGAATTTCACACCAAGAGCGCGGAGACCGTCAACCTCAGCAAGGGTGCCAAAAAGGTGGTGATAGGCCTCCTCAACTGGGTATCGCCATCCCAGAATGGAGCAGATCTCCGTCGCCACCAGATCGAGTTGATGAGCTTGTTGGACAGCTCTGAGAACAGCTTCACAACAGGAGCTGCACTTGGGGGAGGATGGAGAGAAGGAATAGCAGTCCCTCGAAGTAGAAGGAGGAGGAGGAGGAGGAGGAGCTGGGGCAGGTGTTGGTTTTTCAAACTGGCTTGAAAAACACCGGGTGGGGAGGGGGAGAAGAAGGAGGAGCAGGTGTTTGTTTTCAAAAGGGTTCGCGCAAATCCGAGGAGAGAAGGAGGAGGAAGAGGAGGAGAAGGGAGGGTTGAGGAGGAGAGGGCCCCTGCTATTCACCACCTCCATCTTCCTCCTTGCTACAGGAGTCCTGGCGCTGATGCCGAACTTCGCACACAAGAAGGCGCCATTATGGATGGCAGAGATCAACGCCCTGAAGAGCCTATCCCAGACTGGCTTCAATGGCGACCACAAGTTTTCTGTTATGTTCGAGGAAGGCTCTGCTGATGCTCGCGACGGGAGGCCTGGTAATTACGATGGACGCTTCTGTATCCCGATACCTCGCGAGGGAAAGGATGGGGCGAATTGCTTTGTCAAGAGCAGGCTCTGGGTCCAAGGGTTTACAGATAGAGTGCCGTTCACGAAATCGTCTGATACGATGCAGATCGAGGACATGAGCGAGGACGCCATGCCAGAAGTGAGGGACGAGAAGCACACGATGTGTCCTTCGCTCCGTTTTCAGCAAGTGGGAATGCAAGCCATCGAAAGCATGGTCCGGGGAGCTACTGAGGGCATCTCTTCGAGCACTGAGCTGAGTGGGAACGCGTTGAACATCATGATCGTGGACTTCAGCGCTGATGCTGGTGTATCTATCAAGGCATTCCTGAACATCGCCTCCTCTTTCGAAGTGCCAGTGTCCCTGGCGCTGCTGCCAGAGAACGTCCGACAGACTGAGCGGCTAAAGGAGCTTGCCAGGAGGGAGGTTGCAAGTGGCTGGCTCAATAGCCAAATCAAGGACAAGAAGGCACCTCCACCCAAAGCCATGCCCCAGGAGGAGAAACATAGTTTTCCAGACAAGCCAGCGTTGTCTATCTTGACGTGGGCGCAGAAGGTCGGGGAGCTCGATTCGATCAAGACCCCAGCTCATGTCGCTGACAAGTGGTCGGCAAAGGAGAAGCTCAACGAGTTCATGCAGAAGCTGGAGGCCAAGTACGGCGACATGTCATCCAAGAAGAGGGCGCTTGAATCCCATGGAGATCCAGGGACTCCTTCACCACACAAGGCCTTGAAGGTCGATAGGGATGCGACTCCTCCACCCAAGCAGGTCAACACGATGTCCCTGAGCGAGATCACCACGACACCCTTGGCAGATATCACCATTGCAAACTTGAAATCCAACCAAATCGTTCGGCAGTTCATGGTCAATGATGTTGTGTTCCTTTGCAACAAGAGCGACGCTGACGTCACCCTGCCGGCGCATCACGTGCTAGTCCTCTTCCCGACGAAAGGCTCCAAGTTCGAGAAGACGCTTGCGAATGACGGCAAATCCATGGAGTACAAGCTCGGATCCCAGGATGAGATGATTGCCCTCGGTTCCATGGTCCAGGATACGATAGCAATGAGAGGAGGATCAGGAGGAGGACGGTTTGAAATGAGTTTTCCCCGAATGGTTTTCCACAGAATTTGGGCTCAAGTATTTAGTCTCAGTGTCCTGGGTCCGCTTCTTTGTTTCCGGGCAGGCCTCCTTGGCCAAACGTTCTCCCTTCAGAGGACCTGTACAAGACAGTCAAGGACAAGAAGAAGCAGGAGCCCAAGCTCGCGAAGGTGTGCTTTCACACCTTGAAGGACGTAGCCACTGCAGAAAAGCCTGGCTCGTTCTCGATCGATGTCAAGGCACAGGTGCATTTCAACATCCAGGAGCGCATCAAGGTCGAGGATGACAACGAGAAGAAGCTCAAGACATCATTCCAGAACGCAGGGGCCTTGATTCCGATCAACAAGTGGCTGGAGGCCCCGTTGCTCAAGATCATGTGGTCGTGCAAGTGGAGCCCCAAGGGTCTCGTCCCGGTGTGCCCCAAGGTGGTTACCAAGGAAGCGATCAGCCTCCCCCCCGGCAGTGGCATCAAGCTCCTGTGATTCGAGGTTTTCAGATTTCACGTGCTCGCTCGAGTCCGAGAATCGCAGGTCCTGCTAGTAGGACATGGGCTGTTTGAGGCCACGCTGAGGGTTGAGATGAGCGTTCAGTATCTCAGGATGTGTGTGGCTCGCATTCAGTGGCTTGCGATGTTAGCAGCGTGCCTGCAAGCAACTATCCTTTTGAATTTAACGTGTGTGCGGTAGCCCTCCACCTCCTTCACCTCCTCCTCCTCCTTCTCCTCCTCCTCCTCCCTCTTCCCCTCTTCCTCCTCCTCCTCGTCCCTCTCCTCCTCCTCCTCCTCCTCCTCCTCCTCCCCTCCTCATCCCTCTCCTCCTCCTCCCCCTCCTCCTCCTTCTCCTCATCCACATTCACCTCCTCCTGTTCAACATCATCCTCCCCATCCACCTCCTCTTCGCCCCCTGCATCCCTCTTCTCCAAGGTTTCTTTCAGACTCGTTTGAAAACAACGCCTGCTCCACCTCCCCCTCCTCCTCCTCCCAGTAGGCAGGCTTCTCGTGGCCCCGCATTCGATCCGCGCCCATCGCTGACTGGCCTCTTCTGGGAGAAGGAGAAACGACAAGGCGGCGTCCTGCTCAGAAACCTACTCCCTCGTCCCCCCATTTTCGGAGGCCATCTCTTGGCGCTGGGGGCTGAAAAAAATAGCATGGGGCCATCACTGGGCCCAGGTGCTTCCTTAGGGGTCGCGATGGGCAGCTCCTCTCCACACCTATGCCAACTGCCAGTGCCCATGTCGGCTCAGGGTCGTAGAGCAGGGAAGTCCCAGGGGTAGGGGCTCATCAGTAACGAATGTTTTTTTTTATGATGCACTTCAACTTCACTGATCTGAAGCGCGTGAATGTTTGTGGCGCCGTGGGACGGGGAATACGTTGAAACTAAAACTACTTACACCCCTGCAATAACATAACTTATCTGATTCACGCCCTCGACCGCCCAGTCCCAGTTTATCTTCTTGCCCCCGCTTGGTGGCCCAGGTGCCTGCGAAACCCCCATCGACAAGAAGCGCGACAAAGTCGACCTGTTTGCGATCCCTGACTTCTGCGGGCCAGATACCAAATCGACAACTCCTGACAAGAGTGAGATGGGCCTGGGCGCTAACAATACGGTGAGGTTGTTATTGCACGAATCTGGCATTCGTCCTCCTCTTCCTCCTCCTGTGTTCCTCGTGCTGCCGATGCTGCCGATGCTGCTTATCCTTCTCCCCCTCCTGCTTCTCCTCCCCCCTCCCTCGCTGGACCCCTAACCCTTCGCCCCCCCTCATCGCACGACTGCGCATCAATGCTCTAACAACCCCACCGAAGCCAGACGCTGAGAAGGAACTTGTTCCTGTCAGCCTTTCCGATGTTGGGGATCACATCAAGACCCCGGCGCGCAGCCGTAAGCGTCAGCGCCGCTGGGGGAAAACAGTAGAACCGGGGGTTTGGACTCCAAAGCTGCCGAAAACCAGGCACCTTGGAAAATCTTAGGGCATCGACGTGTGCCAGCCTGGACCTGGAACTATTCAGGGGGAGGAGATAAAGGAGGGGGCATGGGAGATAGGGACGTGAATGCAACACTCTGGCCTTGCATGCTGTGCGATGTTGTGCTCGGAGGGGCCGTGCACTTCGAGAAAACACAACTTGGCAGGTGCACAAGATGACAGCGATCCCTACTCTTGCAGCCTGCTCTTTTGCTTCCCTCAGTGCGCCGAGGGTTTGAGGATCGGATTTGCGTTTAAGTTCTCGGATTTTTCTGGGCCCCCAGGGGTGCCCTCGCCACTTCGACTGGATCTGCCCCGAAATCTCTTGCACGCCGAACGCGCTCCAGGACAAGTCCATGGGCCGATCTCGAATGAGAGAACTGGGGGGGCCTGGGGCATGAGGAACAGTCGGTGTATGCACGCATTGCACGCACGCGCGCGCACTTGGCATGGCTTCAAACATACGCGCGAGCACATACATGCATGCACTTATGAGGAGGAGGAGGAGGAGGAGGAGGAGGAGGAGGAGGAGGGGCAGGAGGAGGAGGACGCTGAGGAGGAGGAGGAGGAATCGGAGGAGGAGGAGGAGGAGGCGGAGGAGGAGGAGGAGGAGGAGGAGGAGGAGGAGGCGGAGGAGGAGGCAGGAGGAGGAGGAGGGAGGAGGAGGAGGAGGAGGAAGCGGAGGAGGAGGAGGAGGCGGAGGAGGAGGAGGATGAGGAGGAGGAGGAGGCGGAGGAGGCGGATGAGGAGGAGGAGGACTCTGAATTCTTTTCATCTGATGGAAATTCTTTTGATGTGACGAGTCGTTAGAAGCGAACCGAGCGCGCGCCTGTCACGGTCTCCGCCGGCCGGTCGTTCGAGCCTGCGGCAGGGTCCGCGGCTGGCGAGCCCGGCGGCGAGGCCCGCGGCCGGAGAGGCCTGGCAAGAGGAGAGCGGTCGTGAGGGCCGATGCAGGAGCGACGGCGAGCTCCGGAGCCGCCAGCACGCAAGTCGCGGCTGCGCGGGAACCGCCGGCGGCAGTGTCCGCGGCGAGGGCCGACGTAGAGGTCAGCGCGGCACCGCCTGCGGAAGGAATCGCGTCGGGAGACATGGCGGCGGACGCAGCCCGCCAGCAGCGCGCAGCAGAGGCACCCCTGGACGAGGTGCCGGAAGCCCTGGACAAAGGGGATCAGCAGCCGGATCAGCCAGCAGACATGGAGGATTTGGCGCAGGTGCTAGCCCCAGAGCGCGGCCCGAAGAACAGGCCACCAGTATACGCAGATGTGGTGTGGGATGCACAGCGCGGCAGGCACGCGCGCGCTCTGTCGCTGGACGCGACGTCGTTGGACGTCGTCTAGGACAAGGGCCTGGCGGCGGCGAAGGCGAAGCTCCACGGCTTGGTGCGAGAGCAGGCGGAGGACCACTGGGTTAGCATGGACATTCCCATCGCACAGGAGGAGGTGAAGGGCATCGCGCTGAAGGCGCTTCAGATCGGCGCGGTGGACCTCGCGGAGTTATAATCTCTGCAGCGTTATTCTGCGAGGGCCGCGGAGTTTCAGCTGAGGCCTGGTTTCGCGGTGGGCCTCGAGGAGCCCAGGGAGCAGTCGTCTTCGATAGCTTCGGATTGCCCGGGGCGCCTGGACTCTGCGACGGAGGAGTTGCGGAGGAGGCGCTGGGAGGAGGATCCAGTGATACTGTTTGGATCGCCTTCGTGGACCAAGTTCTGCCTGTTCGCGCGCCTCGGCAGGGAGTTACCCCGAGGAGAGGGCGAGGAGGACATCAGGAAAGTGCGGCTCGATTTTCGGACGTCCGTAGGAGCGCGCAGAAAGCAAATGGAGAGGGATCGTTATTTTCTCCACGATCACCCCTGGAGGTGCAGCCCCTGGGACGATCGCGCCATCCAGGACCTTGTGAACACGAGCGGCATCTGCGTCGTTAAGGGCCCGCTGCGCCGGTGGACCGCGGCCGCTGCAGATGGCCGAGTGGACCCATCGTTGCCAGGATACGACCGGGAGCGCACCTGATGGATTCCCAACCACGCAGGACTGGCACGACGATTGGAGGATATCGTTGCCGGGGGCACTGGCGGCGAGCCATGGCGTAGGCAAGTTCACATTCAAGGGGGCGTTGTGAAGTTTACTCGTGACCACCCGCTTGTCTTAGTGGAGGCGGTAGTGGAGGAGCTGGCATCTACTTTATCTTGCCCTGGCGAGCTCAGCAAGGCTCAGACATTGGAGTCGGGGCCCGTTCCGGCGCGCCCGGCAGCGTCGGAAGGTGAGTGGAACAAGTATTGGGACGACGCCAATGGCGGCTACCTCAACACCAGCATGGTCGACCAGGCCAGGAAGGAGGAACGAGAAGAGGTCAGGAAGCAGGAGCTCATTGAGAACGCTCCTCGCCAGCAGTGTTTTGAGGAAACTGGCAAGCCGCCGACCCCCTCGAGGCGGGTGGGCCAACAAGGGCGACGCCACCAAGCCCAATTACAGGGGCAGGCAGGTGGCAAAGGAGATCAAGGCTAAGCAGCAACCCGGAGAGCAGTTGGAGGCTTCGGAGGTCTTCTGGGCCATGCCTCCGCTGGAGGCCGCGCGGATCCTTTCACATTCGATGGTTACTTGGACGCGGCAGGGCCCGCGCCAGGGGCTGGAAGCCATGGGGGGGAGAGGCCGAAAGACAGCCGGCAACTTTAAGATCGGCATGTTCGACATCAGCCGGGCGCATTTTCACGGCAAGGCGAAGCGGGGGATCTTCGCGGAGCTGGAGGCGGAAGATCGGCAAGAGCATGGGGAAGATAAATGCGGTCTTCTTTCGAAGTCTTGGCATGGCACCCAGGGCGCCAGTGCCATCTGGCAGGGAGATTACACGGAGCTTTTGAAAGAGCACGGGCATCGATCTGGGGTATCTTACCCGGCTGCGTTCTCAAGTACGTCTGCTCGGGCACGGCGACGATTTCAGATTCTCGGACAGCGGGGAGACATCGACGACTTCGAGAACACCCTGGGAAAGAAGTACGAATTCAGGAAGACAGCCAACTTGGGCTTCGACAGCACGGATGGCAAGCGAGCCGTCTTCTTGAATCGCGCCATCGAGGTGTCCGATTCCGTTCCCCCTGGGGGGGGGGGGGGGCGGCCACGCAGGCACGCGTTGATTGAGGCAGATGCGAGACACGGGGAGATCAACGTCAAGGAGATGGGCCGTGAGAAGGCCAACGGCGTCGACACCCCGGGGGGGAAGAGGAGCGCAGACCAGCAGATGGCTGACTCGAGGGCGGCGGCGCTGGGACCGGCGGAAGCTTCGCGGTTCAGGTCGTTAGCCATGCGATTGGCTTATCTCTCCCAGGACCGCGTCAACATTGCAGAAACAGCCAAGACTCCAGCAAGATCAGCGCAGACACCGGCGGAGGCGAGCTGGCAGCTGATGGAACGGGCAGCCCGGCATCTGAAGAAATACCCTTGCCACGTTCACGATATTTCCGGAGCAGAAGATGTGCGAAAAGATCCGGATCAATGTGGATACAGAACATGCGGGGCGCGCAGTGACTCGGAAAAGCACGGGAGGATGTATCGCAACATTCGGGCGTCATATGATCAAGCATGGCAGTAATCTGCAATCGACCATTGCTTCGAGCAGTGGGGAGAGCGAGTACTACGGACTCGTGAAAGGAGGAAGCATGGGGCTAGGTCTTCACAGCTTGATGCTTGATTGGGGGCTCGACCTCAGAGTCGAGCTCGCTTCAGACTCATCTGCGGCCCGTGGACATGTTCAGCGACGTGGACTTGGGGAGATGAGGCACATCCAATCGCGATATCTGTGGCTACAGGAGCGCGTTGGGCGTGGAGACTTGGCAGTCGCGGTGGCGCTCGGCGCAAAAAACGTGGCAGACATCCTGACCAAGTGCGTGGGCGGGACGCTACTACGCAGGCACCTTGCCACGCTCAACGTCTGGGCGCGTCGAGCCGGCGAGGCCCAGAAGACTATCCAGTGAATCCGCGCGGCGCGTTGTGGATCGAATCCACACTCCGCTACCTTTGGTTTCTTCTTCTTCATGTGAGATACATTCCGTTGCAACGAAGCTGAGGGCCGCGGCAGGGACCGCGCCCTGGGAGGCGGCAGCGCTGCTCCCTGAGACTCGAGTGGCCGGTCGGCGTGAGAGTTCTGTACTTTGGCGAAAGGAGTTGAGTCTCCTCATGTGGTGCGCTTTTCGGCGGCCAACGCCGAACCGCGAGGAGTGATTAGAGTCACGGACGGTAGCATGCATGTGTGTGGCGGCATTGCGGCGGAGAGGTTTCGTGACAATTTCGCGCCTTCCGCCCGCCGGCGTTTTGGCTCAAGTGAGGATACAGGGAAACGTCCCATCCAACATCGTACTACATCATCATAGCGCAATCCATGAAAGGTCCGATGGGCTACACGAGCGAACCCAAGAGAGCAGAGCCAGACAAGCCAATATGACAACTATGGGCCCGCGGATGGACGTGGCGCCGCGACAAGCACTCCACAAGAGAAAAAGCGCGGCCGCCAGGCCCTCTTTGCCCGAAGGCCAGCAGTAATATCAGCTGGGCAAGGGTACGAGGGAAGAAACCTTCAGGCCCACCAAGAGCTTGAGAGGCACGTCCCTTGGGAGAGGCTCCCCGTAAAACACTTGTCGACAAAAGGCATGAACCAGCAAACACCAGGTGGTGCTCGCAAAGGGCCCGGGTGTTGCCGAACCGTCGTAACTGGAAGCAGAGAGTTGTCTCGTTCAGAGGGCCTTTTTACCGAGAAGAGCTTCGCCATGGCCTGCAGCAGGGGCAACAACAGCACGGACTGCGGCGCGAGCACCATTCGCTTCACCGCAACGAAATACGTTCAAGAACTGCTGGCATTGGCATATGGGTCGGAGCCAAGTTGGCGTCCCTTGGGCGGCGAGAAGGAGCCGCAGGAGAACCATGGAGTACCGGACCAGCAGCCTCGGGAAGCGTCGCCAAGCCGCACCCGTCGACAGCCACGACGACTCGTGCCCGAGAAGGCGCGAGGCAGCGCTCGGACCAT